CCTCACAAGCACAAGGTCCTAAGTTTGATACCCAGTACAAAAAAGAAAACCAAAATGTATATATAACTGTGTGTGTGTGTGTGTGTGTGTATACACACACATAAAACTATATACATGTATATAGTTTTATGTGTGTGTATACACACACACACACACACACACAGTTATATATACATTTTGGTTTTCTTTTTTGTACTGGGTATCAAACTTAGGACCTTGTGCTTGTGAGGCAGGCGGTGGCACCACTGAGTTAAATCTCCGGCTCCACTTGGCTTACTTTTAATGAGGTTGTCTACAGAAATTTCCAGTAAGGTGTATCTTCTTTTAATCCTTTTTCTTGCACTCACTTTGGCCCTAACTATTATCAGATAAAGTATGGAAATTCTTCACTTTTGGAAAGCAATTTTAAAAATCATTTGTATAATGTTTAATGTTTAAGGAAAATGTAATGGCTAGTAAGTGAACAGGAAAAAGCCCTGTTTTAAGTTTTATGAGTTAGGAAAGAGGGAGATATGCATACAAATGCTATTATGAGTGATTGGTGTAAAAAGCTTACAGTGATTCAGAACATTGGAGAGAAGATGTTCAGAATAAAATAGCGAAAATTGAAGGAGGGAGGATTTCAGCTGAGTTAAAACTTATTTGATGTCTTTGTTTTGATTATGAAAATATAAACTGGACTCTTTGCCAAGTATTTGATGCCAATTTATATAGGGTTATCTTTCAATGGGTTAACATTATAGCTGGAACCATGGCTTGTTTCTTTGCTTCAGCATGTTGCCATACATGAAAAATGTGTAATAAGTGTATGAATGTATAATATACTTAGAGATGACAAAAGGTTTTAATTGGCTGATATAGAACTTTTGGAGGATCATTTTATATGGAGGAAATAACATAGATAAAATCAAGGAGAAAGGAAAGTACATCAATTTTATATTGGATTGTTATGAGAGAAGATTGGAAAGGTGAGTATGAGAAAGACTTAGTGAAAGACTTTGAGTGCCAGACCTGATATTTAGCTTCTGTTTTGGAAGACACTTAAGGAAATCAGACTTTTCATTAATTGAATGTCAAACTTGAACTTGTGGCCCTCTTGCCTCATCCTTCTAGGTAGCTGGGGTCACAAGTATATACCATAACGCCACCACATCCAACAGAAATTCTTGTAGTTCTTTTCTTTTATGTTTCCTTTTTGTGTGTGTCCTTTTAAAGAATCTTGTCTGTCCCAAGGTTTGAAGATACTCTCTGCTGTGATTTTAATGTGCTCTTCAAAATTTATGTGTTGGATTATATCAGGTCTGTGGGCCAATTTAGGAAGAACTATCTTAACAATATTGCTTCTTCAAATCCTTGAGTCTGGTATAATTTTCCCATTTATATAAATCTTCCTTAATTTTTCTCAGCAGTGTTTTGTTATTTTGCTGTAGAAATCTTGTATTATCTTTTGGTGGATTTATTACCTAGTATTGGATTTTTTGACAGTGCATTATAAACTGTATTCTTTCCTGTTAAATTTTATTTTCCACTATTCTGTGACCTGGTATACAGAAATGCAGTTTGTATCAAACATCACCCGTTTACCAAGGAATCCTGCTAAATTCAGTGAGTAATTTTGTAGATTTTTGTGGGTTTTTTTTTTTTTTGCATTTTGCAATTTATATGCTGTCATGTTATCTGTAAATAATAACCACTTTTCTTACTTTCCAATCGATACTTTTTATTTTTCTTTATTGCCTTGACTAGGATCTCCAATGCAGCATCAAATAGATGTGGTTATAGTGGGTATCTTTGTTTTGATCCCAAATTCAGGAAGATGCATTCACATTTCAATACTAAGCATGAGAATAATTTTAAGAATTTCTTTTGTAGGTTATTTTTTTTTATCTTATTGAATTAATAGGTTGTTCTTGGCTTACGTGGGCCAAATTTATTATTTATGTTGGAAATTTTAAACTATTCAGCTCCAGTAATTCATAATGTTTTATTTCTGTAGTCTGTGCATATCATAGATAGAACTTGTATCTTTTTATTTTCCTGCTTTTATTTTGCTTATTGTCACCTTTTGGAATGTATCATGACAGACACTTTCAGTGTTGTTTCTTGTTACTTTTTATTATCTTTTAAATATTTAAATGAAATCACTTTTTTTTTTTTTTTGGTACTGGGGATCTAACTCTGGTCCTTGTGCTTGCGACACAGGCAGTGGAACCACTGAGCTAAATCCCTGGCCCACATATCACTTATTTTTTTCATTGGTTCATATAATTCAGCGCCTTATTTAGTGCTGATTTGTGTTGCGGGCACTGGTTTTAAGTGTTATGGATATGGCTTTGAGCAAGACATAGTTTACATTTTAGTAGTAACAATAAGCAGTAAGTGAACATTTAAACCAAGGATGTGTTTGGAAAGTATTAAACTTCAGGGGTTCAAGGGAACATAAAAGGGGGTACCCTAAGCCATTTGAGAGGAAGTCAGGAAAAAAACATTTTAGAGAAAGTCGTGTCTAAATGGCAGCCTGAGAAAAACTCCAAGGCATTCAGACCTGGGGTGGAGAAAGGAACAGGGTGTAGGTAGTGAGAAGATTTGGACAGCATTCTGCAGAAATTAGCATCTGCATAGAATGCTCACTACTGTTTATTGTGTTTTAAGCACTGTGATCATTGGTTTATATTACATTCTGTCCTTTGCTACTAGTTTGTGGAGTGTGTGTTACTTCCTTTTGTACAATTCCAAGACTTTCAGACCACATTCCTCTAAATTAACTGTTTTGAAGATAATCTTGTAGAGTAGCAGCAGAGTTTTCTCTTGGATCTCTCTAGCTCGGGAATAGCTGTGTGAGATGTGTAAGTATTTGAGGATCCAAAGCTTCTGAAACTTTATACTATTTTCTTGTGGACTCTTGTACAAGAGTCCAAAATTTACTTGTATCTCTTTCACAACATAAAAGGCATATTTTAAAAAATTCTAGGTAATAGTTTGCTATACTATTGATTTTAAAAGAATTTTGGTTGATTATTTCACGTAGAAGAACTGAGTCAAATTTATCTTACGGTTTAGAAAAACAGTAATGCTTAAAGCTTATGTCTTATCCAAGGTTAGATAAGCCAGAACTTGAGATTTTCCTGTGCATCCTTGCCTCCTGCCTGGGCCTTCTGCACCACTGCAGGATCTTTGGGTACAGATTTTCATGGCAGGTATCACATTTCTTTGGTGTGCCCTAGGGTAAAGCACTTAGCTAGCTGGGTGAACTGAGCAGGTCACTTAACTCTCAAGCTCCCTTTCTTCATCTGTCCAGTGAGAATGATAATATCCTTTTTTCAGTTTTTTTAATGGTTAAATGAGTTACTGAAATTGATCACAGTATGAATTTATAGTAAGAGGTCACTGGGTATTATTAACTGTTCCTGGGACCATTTGGTGAGTGATTATACCAACCCATTGAAACAGCTTTTGTGATTTGCTTTTCCAGACTGATTTGAACATCTTTAGGTTTCATGCATTCCCTCTGAACCCATACTGCTTTACCAGTTGTAACTTGGCTCAGTAATTATTTCGTGACTTGGACTGGTATGAGAGCTTTTGAGATGTATTCATTTTTTTCTGATACACTGTTATAACAGAGTACATGGACTAGGAAGTAGGCGTTGGCACCCTTATATGTGAGGATGCAGTCTCAGTTTTCTTTCGAGGAAAGTTATAGGTTTTGTGATTCTGTATACTAAAGCATTCCTTTGACATGAATGAAATATTTGAAATATTTTAAAATTAGTTTCCTTTTCTAAAAATGGTTTAGTTATACCTTGTCTATTGTTGACCAAAAGCGTAGAGTTGCTACTTGATCTCTCATTTGGAAAAAGTACTAAGACTTCTACAAATTTAAGATTTCAAATACATAAATTTCTTAAATTTAAACAGTGTTTGTGAAAATCTCAAGTCTGTCAAAAGTTGACATTTTGAATGCAGATATACTGTTTTTCAGCCAAATTTCTATGTTGGTTTATTGAAAAAAATAGTAGTTAGAACACAACACAACTGTGATTAAATTGAAAATTTTCTTATTTTTGTTTCTGTGATTTGAAATACTTAATGATCAAATTGACTTCTTAGTGAAAGTGACAAATCCTTGGAGTCTCAATGAATCTGCATCAGACTGAATTTCATACGAGAAATGAGATTG